CACACACACACACACACACACACACACACACACACACACACACACACACACACATGCATGCATGCATACAGTGAAATCCGGTCCTTGAAGATGCCCCCAGAAGCGATACGTGATGTGCTGGAAGGGGTTCTTCGATTGATGGGCAACTACGATACTTCATGGATGAGTATGAAGAAATTTCTGGGGTCTCGAACGGTGAAGGAGGAGATAATGACGTTTGATGCTCGGAAGATCAGCCCTGAGCTTCGTAAAGACGTACAGAAATTGATGGCATCCAAAGCTGCTTCTTTTGAGCATGCCAACATTTACCATGTCAGTGTTGCCGCAGCTCCACTAGCGGCTTGGGTGAGAGCAAATGTCAGGTACTCCTTGGTCCTGGAGAAGATCCGACCGTTGGAAGAAGGACTGAGAGATCTAGAAGGTTCTTTGGCACGCTCAAGGGAAAAATTGTTTGACTGTGAGAATGATTTGACCAGCCTGGATGACGCAGTAACGAGCTTGAGAGAGGAGTTTTCCTCAAGGACCGGCGAAGCCGAGGCACTCAAGGCCAGCCTACGTGTCGCTAGCGACAAGCTCGATGCCGCCTCCACCTTAGTGGATAAACTCGGAAGCGAGAGGGTACGGTGGCAATCTCAGGTTGTGGTGCTAGGTAGAGAGTTGGATGAATTACCAATCAGTGCTTTGCTTGCAGCTGCCTTCGTGACGTACCTTCCATCTGAGCCGGAAGATTTCCGGCGTGCTATGATCAACATTTGGCAAATTGCTGTGCCTCAACCTTCTGGTTCTAACTCCGTGTTAGCGCTATCCTCCCCCTCCGGACGAGTAGCAGCTTCTACATTGACAAAACACACCACCTTGGGATGCACTTCGCCTTTTCCATCTGAAGCGCTGATGGGTACGTCGGTCACCTCTTCTTGCTCTTCTTCCCCCTCCATTGCAGCCTCTGCCTCTGGCGCGCATTCCTCTTCGGGGTCGACAACCACATCTCGAGGGGGATTCGACTTCAAGCGGTTTATGAGTTCAGAGAGTGAGATGGTGGCGTGGCGATCCGAGGGCCTCCCTTCTGATGATTTAACCATGGAGAATGCGATTGTTCTGCTCGCCACCACCCGTGTACCTTTGATAATCGACCCGTCCATGGCAGCTGCTCGATGGTTGTTGCGCCACTTACGTCGCCAACGAGCAGGGATGGGGGGTATGGTTGTGGTTAATTTGCAAGATCCCCGTTTCAGCACAAACATCGAACTAGCTGTGAAGTTCGGGAAAACTCTCGTGCTTTTGGAAGCAGACCGGATCGAGCCTGTGTTATACCCTCTCCTTCGGCGAGATCTGGACCGAAGGGGACCCAGATGGACGGTCCAAATTGGGGAGAAGATAGTCGACTACAATGACAACTTCAGACTTTACCTTGTTACCAGAGATCCCACCCCCGACATCCCTCCCAGTGCTTCTGCTCTCGTCGTAAGAACCGACTTCACAATCACCCGTTCAGGGCTGGAAGGACAGCTCCTTGGCCTCACCCTCCAGCACGAGCAACCCGAGCTCGAGAGCCAGAAAAGCGCACTTCTTAAGGTACTATTATTAGCATACCCTCATGTTCCTGTCTAGGCCCTCACTGTGTGTGTTTGAGTGCGTCTCACTGTGTCTGCAGGTTTGTGCATGGCCCTTGTGGATCTGTGCGTAATACTGTGTATGTGTGTGTGAAACTGAGTGTCTTGTTCGCATTTGTGTCTTTCGAAGCCCCTTTAGAGCTCCCCAAAACCGAATTGCCTCCTCCTTTAGCTCAAACTCCTCTTCCTTATCTTCATCCTTCTCTCCTTCTTTTCTTTTGCATCATTACCATCACCATCACCATCACCATCACCATCACCATCACCACTACCACTACCACCATCACCATCACCACCACCCCCATCATCATCGTCATCCTCGTCATTTGTCACCTTGTCTTTCTTCATCGTCTAAACCCCCCTTGGTCTCCTTCCTCCCTTTGCTCATGCCGTTTCCTCCACCTTCGGCTTCATTTGTCCATCTCCTCCTCCTCCTCCTCCTCCTCCTCCTCCTCCTCCTCCTTCCCCCATTCCTTGACCTTTACCTGCTTCCACTTCTCCTCCGAATCCATCTGTTCGATTTCCCCTTTGTTTTTTGTCCCCTGGTGAGAGACAAACACACACAAGTGGTTAACGGGGATGGCCACTTTTCAGCTCTTGGGTAACGGGAACAGAACTGAAATTAGGGTTTGCGTGTCAAATTTTGTGCAACCCCTTCCTCCCCCCCCCCTCCCCCCCCCGGCAACAATCATGACAATCTTATGAGTAACCCCCTCTCTCTTCACTTTTCCAAGACATCTTTAACAAATGTGTTACGAGAATTCTGGCGGTTTCTGGAAACGAGGGTAGCGTGTGTGAGTAACTGTTTTTTTGTAATTTCTTGTGACTTGCCGGTGGAACAGGAACTGGAATGACACTCCCCAGAACGGAAAAGGGGCCAGAACCGTTAGATTCTTTTTTTTCTAATAAAAAAAAAAAATTAAAAAAAAATAAAAGGGTTGTTGCTCTTGAGACCTTCAGTTGGAGTTTGGTTCTCCTCTATCCAGATATAAGGTTTCCTAAAGAACAGGTACGTAGAAAAAGGTACGAATGTGGTAGGATTGTTTGGGTTATTACAACCTTTAGCAGATGGTTTGAAAGTAATGATAAAAGACTCAAAAAGAGCCTATTCTACCAAGTAGTGCTAGGTTTTTCATTTTTTATAATCGCTCCAGTCATTACATTTATGTTAAGTTTAGTTGCTTGGGCAGTAATACCTTTTGATTATGGTATGGTACTGCCAGATTTAATGTCTGACACCTCAGCATCTCCTTGTGAGACTTTGAGGAACAGGTGTTGAAACCTGAGCAAGTATTTGTGAGGCTGTCTTATTGTCTGCGTGCTTTGTATTGACACCTGAGCAGGTATTTGTGAGGCTTGTCTTCTTGTCTGTGTGCTTTGTGTTTTCGCATGCGCTTCTAATAGACCGCTATTTCACTGCGCATCTGCCTCCACCTTTATGTATCTGTTTTCTTTGCATTCAAAGTTCAAACTATGTTCGCGCATGCGCTTCTAATAGACCACTATTTCACTGCGCATCTGCCTCCACCTTCTTGTCTCTGTTTTCTTTGCATTCAAACTATGTGTCATTCTGGCAGACGGAGGAAGATCTGCGTGTTCAGCTTGCCGGGTTGGAGAAGAAGCTGCTGGAAGAGCTGGCAACTTCTGAGGGAAATATTCTGGACAATCGCTCCCTCATCCTCTCTCTCAATGAAGCGAAGGCAAAGAGCACTGCAATTCATGCATCCCTGGAGAACTCAGTTCAGCTGCAGGCCTCTCTCGACAAACAACGGAATGCTTATCGGCCACTGGCAGAGAGAGGCAGCACCTTGTATTTCCTCTTGCTGGACTTAGTGGTGCTCAATCCAATGTACAGGTTCAGCCTTTCCCTCTTCCTGCGACTGTTCAAGAGATCTTTAGAAGCAGTCGATGCTCCCTTTTCTCCAACAGGGGACACAGCCAGCCATTCAACACTTGCGGCTTCTTTGAGCCAATCAATGGGTTCGAACTCGCATCGGTCTGGTGATGGGGACAAGGAGGAACGGCAAGCAGGAACTGCGACTAGTGCCGGTAGTGCTGCTGCTGTTTCTGTGACTGGGTCAACAACTACTGTGGGCAGCAGAATCAGTCGGCTGATGGTAACCCTGCTGCGAATCGTGTTCAGCCACGTGTCTCAATCCCTGTTCAAATCTGATCGACTCACCTTCGGCATGCACCTGGCGAATTCCCTGCAGTTGTGCGGTGAAATCACGCAGCGGCAGATTGATCTTTTCCTTGGGCAGTATGTGCTTACCACTGCTGATGACAACACCCAAACCAGTAGCGGCAGCAACAGCGGCATTCGCAGCCGACTGTCCATCTCCTCGGCCAGCGCGCTTGCAAATCTTCCTTCGTGGGTGAGGGAGGATCGGGCATTGGCATATGCATCGTTACGGACAGCGCTTCCAGGTCTGGTCCATGCCGTTGATCTGATCAGTTCGGCAGGGAGTACGAGATCTGCAGCTTGGACATCATGGGCATCGAACCCAGCTTGCGAGCAGTACTTCCCAGAGCACGTGCTCTTACACTCGACAACGTTCGAGAGACTACTTCTGATCCAATGCCTTCGGCCAGACCGACTCGAGACAGCGATGCATCAATATGTCTGCACCTCCCTGGGAGTACCTTCTGTGTCCCCAATTCCCTTTGGTTTGTCCCGAATCTACGCAGATTCTGCTTGTGTTGGTCTTCTCTCTTCTCCAGGAGGGGGAGCATCTCCCATGGGAACAACCTCGCCGCAGCAGAACACGATGATGATGATGATGATGCCACCAAAACACAGTAACGCAGCCGTTACGAGTACATTAACCCCATCTGCCTCCTCCCCTGCAGCAGGAGCACCAACAACAGCATCAACATCGTCATCGTCTTCCTTATCCTCCTCCTCATCATCATCATCCATGTCCTTGTCATCATCTCACTTTGCAGCGGCTTCACATTCATCTACAAGTCCTTCTAAGACAACTTCCCTTGTCCCGTCAAGAACCATGACTGGTGATATTACCAATCAACAACCCTCCACAACTTCTGCCCCCTCTTCTTCTTCGAATCCAGACACAAGAATGGCAGTCGAGCCCATCCTCTTCATCACGTCAACGGGTGCTGATCCTTCTCAGGAGCTTGAAGAATTTGCCTTAAGAACTCTTCACTCCAGCAGCTCGGGATCACACTCCAGCTCTCCAGGGTCACCATATCGATATTGTCAGTTGGCGATGGGCCAAGGTCAAGCTGATGATGCCCTAACTCTGTTGCGCGAATGTGCTGCCAATGGAGACTGGCTCTGCCTCAAGAACCTTCATCTCATGGTGGGATGGCTGCCTGAGCTAAAGCGCGAGCTACAGGAATTGCAGCGGCCTCACCCCAACTTCAGGCTATGGCTGACGTCAGAGTCTCACCCTCGATTTCCGCCTTCCTTGCTAGAAGCCTGCCTGAAAGTTGCTTACGAAGCACCACCTGGCGTCAAGAAGAACCTGCAACGGACTTACAGTGAGGCTTGGCCAGTCGAGTACATAGAGTCCGGGAGCCCTCTCCGTGCTCAGCTGCTCTTCTTGCTTGCCTGGTTTCACGCCGTAGTCCAGGAAAGACGATGCTTCATTCCGCTGGGATGGCGGAAGTTCCACGAGTTCTCTTTCCCCGACCTCCGAGCCGGGGCGGGAATACTGGATGCGTCCACGTCAGACGGCAAGATCCCGACATGGGCACACATACATGGTCTCCTGGAAGATGCCATTTATGGAGGACGGGTAGATAATAAAGAGGACCGCCTCGTCCTCCACGCCTACATTCAGCAGACGTTTTGCACAAAGATAGTGGGCAATATGCACAAGGGAGAAGGGGTCCGAAGAAGGGCTGACAGCAACAGGAGCACCTCCTCTAGCAGGTCATCAATGGCCGCAGCTACAGGCACCATCCCTCCACATCCTCTTCCCGGTACACGGAACGTGTTTGTGCCTTTTGGAAATGATCATTCCGAGTTCATGCAGTTGATCGACTCTCTTCCAGACTACGACTCCCCTCCCCTCTTCGGTCTCCCTCCCAACATTCACCACACAGTCCAGAGGGCCAACAGTTCGAGGGTCATCGCCAGCTTAAGAACGATGCTCCTGTCCAAGGAGTCGACATCTGCAAGAGGAATCGATCGCAGAACTCTTTCTCGCCATCTCTCCCCCCTAGTTGCACTTTGGGAGAGACTGGCCCCATCTTCCTTTGGAAGATTCACGGCCGCTTCACATGCTACATGCTTATCGTCTGATACCCCCACTGATCCTTACATCACCAAGAGTGTCACTGGCTATTCTACCAGTCAATCCCTGACTGCCTCCAGACGTCAGAATACCACTGGTTCTTCTTTTACCTCTTCTTCTTCTTCTTCTTCTTCTTCAACTGATCCTCGAGCTCCAGATCTTGCCCCTGCCTTTATCGCAGCTGCGAGGGCTGCACCCAGCTTGTCAGGGGCCTCTCTTCCACCTATTGCCTCCTTTGTTGCTATGGAGATGGCTCAAGGACATCGGATGGCCACTGCAATCAATGCTACTTTGGGGGGCATTGCCAGAGTACTGCGTAGCTCGGGACAAGGGACCTCAATTGAGCCCATGCTGGCCTCAGTCCCTTCGCTCAAGTCGCAGATCCAAACTTTGCTCAGCGGTCGAGTTCCAGAAGAATGGGACAGTCTTTGGGAGGGAGGGCCTGTGGACTCTGAGCCTGCACTATTTCTGCGAGCAGTCTCGGCACGCCTTTCGGCTCTCGAGTCCTGGGAAACATTAGCTCGATCAGGTCAGCTACTTTCCCATCCAATTGATCTCAGCCACACATTTCGGCCGCAGGCTTTCATCAACGCTCTACGCCATCAGACAGCTCAACAGCTGCATGTTTCCATGGATGAACTCAAACTGGCTTCGACGTGGGACCCGTCAAAGCTCTCGTCTTTTTCACGGCGCTCTCATCAGGGCCAAGAAGGCTACCACGACCCTACCATAAGAGGCAGTGGAAGCCTTCCCCCACATGTACGTGCCACTGGCAGTGGAGGTGGACCATCTGCTGCACCTGGTCTATCTGGAAGTTCAAACTCCCACAGTTTCAATCCGGACTACAGGGAGGACCAGGCGTTTCTTGACCAGCCCGTGGTCTTCATCACTGGCCTGTGGATCCAGGGAGCCAGCTTTGACGGAACCACCCTTGAGGAAACTCGCTCAGATGCGCCCAGTTCCGTCGCAGTACCAACTTGCTACCTCGCTTGGATTCATGAGAACGAGGCATTCCCATACCAGCAGAATCTCTCCGTGCCGGTCTATGAGACCGTTGACCGTGTCAGGATTGTGACGGAAGTTCAGCTGCCTTGTCGCCAAGAGGAGCAGCATCGATGGATTCTTGCCGGGGTCGCCCTCTTCTTGGGCGAGTGTGTTGTGTGACAGATCTGTGGGAGCATGTCACGTAACCATCGGGAAAAGTGCAGTGTACCAAGACTGTTAACCACGTCAGGATTGTGACAGGGGTTCAGCCTCCTTGTCACCAAGAGGAGCAGCATCGGTGGACTCTTGCTGGGGTCACCCTCTTCTTGCTGGAGTGTGTTGTGTGACAGCTTTATGGGAGCATGCCATGTAACCAGTGGGATAAGTGTCATGCCACCTATGCACAAGTGTGTATGTAATAGCTGTGGGGACTCGGAATACGGCGTGTAGCAATTGAAGGCATGTGGACTTGTTACAGGGATTGTTAAGTCGCATGAGCTTCCTCCTGTATCATTATGTAATGTTACTGAAGTGTTCCTTACCTTTCCTGCTTCCTTGCTAATTTTCTAAACATCGTTATCATCACAAGGCGCTTCCTCAAAAACAAAAAGGTGTGAGATCTGGATTCTACATGTTTGGGTGCTGCCCTTGTCAGTTGGGATGTCATCCTACATGTTCTTAGGTTACCCCCGCCCAGTAGGGTGAAACTGTTTTGTCAGTGAAGGCCGTTTAATCTGTTCACTACCTTGCCCTGTTTCCTCCTTTTTCCTTTCCTCATCCCCTTAGGGTGGGTACCCTTTAGGTGCCCTTTCCCCTTCCCTCCTCCCCTTAGGGTATCCTTTCGGTGCTTTTCCCTTCCCTCATGTTCTTAATGTACCCTTTATCTGCCCTTTCCCCTTCCCTCATGTTCTTAGTGTACCCTTGACGTGCCCTTTCCTCTTCCCTCATGTTCTTAGCGTACCCTTTAGGTGTGCTTTCCCCTTCCCTCCTCCCCTTAGGGTACCCTTTAGGTGCCCTTTCCCCTTCCCTCATCTTCTGAGGGTACCCTTTAAGTGGCCGTTCCCCTTCCCCCATCTTCTTAGGGTACCCTTTAGCTGGCCTGTCCCCTTCCCTCATGTTGTTAGGGTACCCTTTCCCCTTCCCTCATGTTCTTAGGATACCCTTTCCCCTTCCCTCATGTTCTTAGGGTACCCTTTCCCCTTCCCTCCTCCCTTTTCCGGCATGTCTAGATCCGGCTGGTCAAGCTGTCTGGCACTACCAACATTCTCTGAGTAGAACACAAAACCTGGTTTTCGTCAGGCACATGGAGTCATAATCGCTTCACTGGAATCACTGTTATATTCAGTGGAAGGCAGCCGTAGTGGTCGTGAGGAGCGGGATGTCAACCTGCGGCCGCTTTCTCTCCATCAAATCCCATTTGTTTGCTAATTAGTCCTCATGCCCTATGTTTCTGCGGCATTAGCATTCCCGGACTTGAATGAATCACAGTCTACCTCACAGATCATCCCTGAATTGACATCATCCTTCACAGCGACAAGATGCTAAAGGGTCAATTCAATCGGAAGAAGGGTTCATTCAGTGAAGCCTGAGGCCAATTCAGGGCTGATCTGTGAAGGCTAAAGGGGCAATTTAGCCCTGTCAGGGACAAGAGCTCAGCCCTGAACTGACCTCAGCCTACCAGGCTAGTATCAGCTGAGCTCTCCTTATGCACCCTTTGTTGTCTTGTCACTGAATGGTGCAGCCTGAAGCTGCCAAATGCCCAACACTGACACTGACACCTTTTGACAGGCTACAGCATGGGAATCCACCAGTTGACCATCGACTCTGAATTGACTCCAGCCTGCCAGCTTGGCTTTCCTTCTAAAGTTCTGAACCCCTTCTTTTCTTGTTGATGAGCAATGCAGCCTGAAACTGCAAATGCCCAAAGATGACACCTTTGAAAGAAAAAGAAAAAGAAAAAAGAAAAAAATCCCTTGAGGGCGCTAGGGGTGCTGATAGGAGCAGACACCACCCAAAGATGACATCTTTCTGACAGGATGGCAGCATGTGAAGGCAGTGCGAGGGCCGGAACCATTGTAGTAATATTGCGCTCCCCCAGAGGCACATGGGGGGTGTCATGGGCATTGTTTCTAGCCCAAATATACATGCCACTATGTCTCCAACCCCAATATAGATGCCACTATGTTAGTATCTCAAGTAATGGCTCATGGGCATCATGACGGTGTGTGGGCTCAGAGCTCACTTCATGTCGCTTCACCACTATCGACCGCATCAAAAAGCCTATGCATTTCATGCAGAGCAAGACAATAGTCTGAACCATACTTGCAAGCGGACGCCGTCCGGGCGGTTCCGCACGTGTGGCAGACCGCCGGACAGGACCCGCGCGGCGCACGAATGTGCGCCCGACGACCAGTTACGCCCCACCCCCCTCCCCCCCCCCAAAAAAAAAAACGGCCCGGTCCGGTCCGGTCTGGGGGGAGGGTGCCGCACGCGGCAAAGCGGACCGGACCGGACGCTCGTCCGGTCCGTCTGCTTGCAAGTATGGTCTGAACAAACAAAAACGAAGCATACAATTTATTGAAACAGTCGAATCGTGTGCTGCTAAGTCACAACCAGATGCAACTTCAATTCATGCAGGCTCTTTACATCCACAACAAGGGCATAGGGTTTAGGGCTGCACCCCCTACCCTCAGAATGGAATGCATAGTTTCAGGGATTGCTACTATGTATCAGATGCCCAGCAGCAGGGTGAAGAGGTACCGAAGGCATTATCTCAAGTTCTCTTGATTCTCCTGATTCTACGAACAAATTAGCTTGCAGAACTGATGCCGGGTAGATGCCCCCGGAGATCAGATGTTTCCACACCATGTTCAAATGGGACGCTGGCTCAACAGTCAGATGCCTTAACGCGGTGTTCAAAAGTGGAACCGTACCACTGTAGTGATATCCAAACCATCCCTGCACGGCAGCCGCATTAACTCCCTCTCCCAACATGACATCACTTGATACCCTCCTGCAGGGTTTGTGACCCTTGTACACCCAGCCACGTGGTCCAGGTACAATTCCCCGGCTAGTTACCACACCGAAGTATGGCCTACCTTCTTCCCCCAAATACAACGTACGGTCATTATGGCTGTATCTAGACAGAAAGATGGCACAAATACAGCTTTTAATGACTGTACATTGTATTGGGGGGAAGAAGGTAGCTCACTGGGTACACACCCCTGTAACTGTTGAGAAAAGACACCCGAGTTCGAACTCCAGTGGAAATAAACGAGTACGTCTGTACTTTATGACTTCTCCTAGAAGGAAGAGTGATTTCAACGACTGTGTGCAACCAGAAACCAGGTTAGGGAAAACTAATCATGTAAATCCTTCTAGTCTAGGACCATCCTAAAGTCTCTAGAGTTTTCTAGATGTGTGCAACAAGACCCTAAGGCGTTGTAGTAGAACACCTAGATGCATTTGAATCCATAACTCTGAAACAACATTCTATTAGACGAATAACTGCTAGGAAGACATTTGACAATGACTGCTGAACGACATTGCATAATGACTTTTTGACAAGGATAGGGCTAGAAGAGAATATTCTCAAGTTGTTGCATTGTTAGCCTCATTTTCCCGTTTCACTAGTCAGATTCCACTTAGAGACACTTGGGCTCAGCCCCAGAAGCACTGTGTAGTTGTACTTACTACACAGTCCAACACCTTTAAGAGTGCGAGACAAAAAAACAAGTCTGTTAGGTGGATGCAGCAAGTCTGTTAGGTGTATTTGCTGAGCTCCTCATGAATGCATCCCCGGGGGAGAGGAGAGAGAGAGAGAGAGAGAGAGAGAGAGAGAGAGAGAGAGAGAGAGAGAGAGAGAGAGAGAGAGAGAGAGAGAGAGAGAGAGAGA